GCAGCTATCTTTGGAGACACAGAAAGCAAAGGCATTTCTTGAGGGCTTCACTCTGAGTCCTGGTTTGGGGAGGTGGTAGTGATAACAGAATGGAGAGAGCAAATGCAATGAGCAGAATTACCTGGCCCAGGTACAGGCAAGAGGCAAAGGAAGGTGTCAAACCCGACTGTGAGGTTTCAAGCGTGAGTGGTTGATGCTCTTCTGATGTACTTGGCACACTAGTAAGTTCAGACCCAGATAGCTTGAGGGTTCTTTAACTCAGACAATATTTCAAAAATTATTTCTCATGAGGGACTGGGCCTTTCTCTAACTTGAGATTGTCTCTGCCTTCCATGACTTCATGTAGCATGTGCTCTTGATAGCACAGTACCCTGGTGCAGTGCTAGTGCAAGGTTGGCATTCGAGAAATGTTTATCAAGCTGAGCTAAATGGAATCGAATGATTGGTTTGAGGCCACTGTCTTGGTTGCCACCAAAGGTGAATCCAACTTCTGCCTTCAGGAGCCTAGAGACAGATGAAGCTAATCCAAGTGGGTCTGCTCCCTGCTCTGAGGGACTTCCACTCAGGATCCAGGGGACTGAATGGCGGGCAGTGGTGTGGCCTGGCTATTGCATTGGCTGATCTATATGCACAGCTTGCTTACAGACACTGCAAGGATCACAGTGTCTGAAAATGACTGCTGAACTGTTTGGAACCTATGAGATTAAAATTATGGAATATTGTTAATTACCTCTATGAGGCAAAATGGCTGGATGGGCTTACACTACATCTGGCAGGTGTTTTGGGGACAGTGTGACTTAATATACAGGTTTTACATGAAATTCACTCATGTGTGCATATGTGTGGGAGGGTGGTGTGGTTTCTGTGTGGCACCTGGGACAGATGGCAGGCATCCTGCAGAGCAAGTGGAGCTGAGGGAAGACTTGTTGCAGGGTTCACAAAATAGGTGATGCTTTAAAGCACGAGGCTTGACTCAGAACTCCGAAGAGTAGTGTGCCTAAGAACAGTGTAGATTTTTATTCCAGATTCTTCACACAAGGGCAATTCTATGTAGCATGCTTTAAGGCAGGTTACTAGTTATTCAACTGTCGTTGGTTGATAATTCTCCCAAACAACACAAGAAATAAGTTTTAAAAGTCCAGAAAAACCAATATTTCCTCTTCTGGCAATATTCAAGACACTAAAAGCAGGGTCTTCATAACGCAGCACCAACAATATGTCACCAGCCTGAAATTTTGCCCTTGTTGTATATCTTCTGTTTGCCCTTTTGGATACATCCACCCTTCTCCCCACTCTCCCTGGGGTTCCATGGGGCTGACAGAATGGACTGCACACACCAACTCTCTTCCCTATGGGTTTTGGTTGGGTTTGGCCTGTGGGGAGGTTGATGGAGGTCGGAGTAAGAGGGGCTAAAGTCCTCTGCCTCCTTTCCTGTGGGGTCACATCAGGCTGGCTCTCTAGACCCAAGGTCTTAGATCTTAAGACAGCCCCTCCACGTAGCCCTCGGTGTCTCTAGGGGCCCAGTAACAGCTCCTCCCTTGTCTCTCCAGGCCTAGGAGAGGCCCCTGGCTTTGGACTGTGAACTGTGCCTGGTGGTTTCCTGTACCCTGTACCATGTCCACTCCTTTGTGAATAGCTCCTTTAGAAAACGACCCGTTTGAATCACCCTAATTTGGCCATGCCTTCTGTTTCCTGCTGGGATGCTGCCTGATACACTTTATTTCTTGTTTCTTCACAGCCCCCACAGATCTCATTTCCTCCAGGGCCTTACCTTTGGATGAAGAAAAAAATCTGTTTTCCTTCTCTCTGCCTCTCTTTTACCCAGCCCTCACCTCAGGAGTCTGAGCAGGATTTTCATCTTGTAGGGCCCCTTTCAGTGCACGATTCTCTGTGCTGAATAATGTGGGAGCTTTCTCCTAGTGAACTGTTTATGAGACTCGGGAGTGGGCTCGAGTAATTCAGATCAGTTCCTCTTTTTATTTTCTGTAAAACAAAATCATTGACTCTGATAGTTGGTTTTATGTAGCTGAAACTCTGCTTGAATTGTTAATGATTTTTTTTTTTTTTTTTGAGACGAAGTTTCACTCTTGTTGCCCAGGCTGGAGTGCAATGGCATGATCTCGGCTCACTGCAACCTCTGCCTCCTGGGTTCGTGATTCTCTTGCCTCACCGAGTAGCTGGGATTACAGGGATATGCCACCATGCCCAACTAATTTTGTATTTTCAGTAGAGACAGGATTTCTCCATGTTGGTCAGGCTGGTCTCAAACTCCCGACCTCAGGTGATCCTCCCGCCTTGGCCTCTCAAAGTGCTGGGATTACAGGTGTGAGCTCCTGCAACCGGCCTGTTGATGAATTCTTAACAGAGAGTCGATTTTGTGTTCATTGTATAGTGTTTCTGATCATTTAAGACAGACATCAATGGAAAAACTCCTACAGAGATGGCCTCTCCATTTAAACATATTGACCTCTGTGCTGGTAGTTTTGTGTTTGCCTCCAGATCTACTTATTGTCATTCTCCAGACTGCTATGCTGTCTACCCACTTGCTTCCAGTTAGGTTTAGTCCATGGAAGTTACTAGCATTGAACAGAAAACCAGGAGCAGAGAAGGGCTGGGGTATTTATTCCCCCTACTCCTCTGCCAGGTTGTCAGGTGGCTTTCTCCGTGATGATGGCTCTGCATGATGCTGGGCTCTGGAAACAGCTTTGTCCCTTTGTCCCTTCAGTGCTAGGGTGGTATCAGTGTTGCTAGTACCTGGGTGCTTTACTATTTCTTTTTGGCTCCCTCGTTCCTTCCTATGCCTCTGTAAATGGTCCCTGCATTAAATTCTTATCAGGCACCACTTTGGGTGTGCCATCTGTTTCCTGTGGGGACTTTTACTGAGATATCTTTAATTGTCATTCGGAGGCTGGAAGACTGGCTTGCAACCTAACACCCTAGGTTAGGTAGAATTCAGAAGTCACCCTTGGGATTCTAACACTTCAAAGCCCAGATATTTCTTCAAGTTCATGATAAATCCAATACATTTTCTATTGATGTGGTTTCCCAAAATATACCCTAAACTCCAGCAATAAGTTAAATTCGGAATTCTGAATTCTTTGGCAGACACCTCCCTGAGTACAGGATCTCGAGGCAGCTATCTTTGGAGACACAGAAAGCAAAGGCATTTCTTGAAAGCTTCACTCTGAGACATCTGGTTTCCTCTGGTGAGCCAAACTGGTCTACATGCAGGCCACAGGGGTCATTGTTGACCCTCTAGCCTAAGAGCTCAACTAAAAGCAAACTAGTCTCCATGGTCTGTTTCCCCCAGACTCACATCCAGGGCTGGAGAAAAACTGGGGTGACTCTTCAAGCCAATATGCTTGAAATGTTTGTTCAACATTTATTCAGTGGGGTATGAGTTGAGATTTACTAAGAATAGTTTTTTTAAAAAAAAAATTCTTGTCTACTTTGACATGAGATCAATTTATATATTTTGTTACTTACAAAAAAAAAAAAGACATGTGTAGGGATCTGAGCTAATTGGCTCCTTATGGGTGGGCACAAGGGACCCATCAAAGAATATTCCCATTCTTCTCTCCAGAAGGTCAAACTTCTAGAGTAGATGCCCAGTTAATTGTGCCTATATCAGCAACTTCTCTATAAGAGTGAAATGAGAGCTCTCCCAGAAAGTAAAATGGACCACAACAGCCTTCTTGCTGTGGGGTGTATTAGAATAATGCTTTTTAAAAAAGAGATGAAGGTTCTGCTACATTGCCCAGGCTGGACTCAAACTCCTGGGCTCAAGTGATCCTCCTATCTCAGTCTCCCAAGTAGCTGGGACCATAGGCACACAGCACCATGCCAGGTTAATAACACCATTTTCTGTGGTGGGAATGACCCGTCCAGCACTGGAAACTACGGGCTGAGACTGAATAAAGACAAACAAAAGAAGAAAAAGGGGCAAATGGGCAAAGACTGAGCAGTATTTTTTTTCTCAAGTCCTCAATCAGTGAAGGAGAGAGAAGTACCACTAGCAACTGAACAGTGGGCTAAAGTGATAGAGGGAAGGCAAACAAATTAATTCAGTTGCTTTAACAGCAGTTATGTGGCATTGTGAGTTTGTGTTCAACTCAGCTTCTGTTTGCCTTGATATATTTATCTTTGTGCTCTTTGAAATATGTGATGCTGAACTAATCTACATAGGAAGGTTACGTAATCTCCATGACCCATGAAACTCCATTTTTAGAAAAAGTGATCACATAATTAACACTTACTATTCATCTCATTGGTGGATTACTCCTTACTCTTCTTTCCTCTCTTTAATCATTTCATCACGATTTGTGTCTCCTGAATTGGATTTTTTGATTGATCAAGATATCTCAGACCCCTGCATAGCACACAGTTGTTTTCAAATCCTTCAAGGTGCCGCAGCTTGAAAAGAACTGTAGAAACCAGTCCATCAATCACTGTTGTAAAGTGTTCAAAGTGTCTCCCTGATTTGGCAACTCAACCTGTGCTTTAGGGAAAAACATGCCTTGGGAACAAAAGGTAAAAGATTCTCACCAACTTAGCCCACTCAGAGCGCAGGGAAGAATCAAGTGTACTATCCACTGCATTACCCAGTGATCCTCCTAGGAATAAGAAGCAAAGGTGATTACTAGATTTTATAAAAACATGTTTTCATTTCCTTGTACTGGGTTTATTTTCTTCTCTCCCCATGCTCTGTTTTTGTTTTTCTGCCTTCCAGAGAGGCCCTCTCTCTACTTTACATCTTGCTATTCTCGCCACAATAAAACTAATTCTCTCTTTCTCTAGTTCCCTCTGTTACTCTCAAGGGTTTTCCTAGTGTAGTCTCCTACTGTATTGTACCATAGGCTAAATAATTGTTTGTTATTTTTTATAATGAGATGATGATGGCATTGTCTGGAGGCCCAGCTTTTGTGAAACAAGGTGAGACTGGCTCAGGATAACACATTTGTGTCTTTTAAAGTGGTTTTCTTCTAATATCCAAAGAGCTAAATATGACCAGAATAAAGAACTATTTGCCAATATACCATTTTTATTGGAGACTCAAAACATTAAAAAAAAACAAAAATCAGAACTGAGCATTGCCAGGAGAGGTCAGACTTGCCATAGGATAGACTTTCTGGGTTTCATGTGAAACCTCTACAGACAGAAGCGTGTCCTATGTTCATGGCCTTTCTGGATGTAAACTGGAGTCTCTGACAAACTACAGTGCTTTTCCAAGCTCACCTCTCTAGTCTGTGATGAACACTATCAAATACACTAAGTGAAACACCAAAGCTTAGAGGGTGCTGGGCAACAGAAAATGGTGTCAGTTGGTCCAGCATTCGGACCTCATATTGATGGTTCTCCCCGTCCTTGCCTCCTCCCTACTCCACCTTTGCTGCCCTTATGCTTGGTACCTCTCATTCTGGCTCTGCCCCTCTGGAAGATCCTCTCTGTATCCTCATCCCCTGATGGGTGGTGGCAATGTGTGCCCTGAGCCCTATACTAAGGTGAGTGGTTTATTTCAGTGTTCTCAGCTTTTCCCCAGCTCAGTCCTCCCTCCTTCTCTGCAGCTTGGTCCTGGTTTCTTCTTGCCGACGTCTCCAAGCAGCAATGATGGCTTCATCGTCCATTTCTTCCTCTTCCTCTCTGTCAGTGCTTCTTCGATACTGGGACTGCCGTCCAGATGCAAACCTCCCTTCTTCTCTGTTTTCCGTCCTCTCTTTCTCTCCCTCTTCTTCAGACCTCATAAAGCTCTGGGTGAATTTCCTCTTGGCTCCAAATTCAGAGAAGTCTGACTTGGATGACTCTTCCACATCTTCCCAGTCTCTGGACCTGGCCCAATTTGGTTGCTGTGACTCTGGGGACTCTTCCCTTTCTGAGGGCTCTGGGGTCCGGCGAAAGAAGTAGGGCTCTGGGCTGCCCTCCTCTCGGGAACTTGAGGTCTCGCTGTACGTGGACCTGGAGAACTTGTGCATCTCTCTGCCCTCCCTGGTGGAGGAAGACGAGAACCGTGAAGTGCTTCTTATAGAGTTGCCATTTGCCTCGTGGTAGGAGGAGGTGTCCTGTTCCTCTGACTGGGATTTGGAAAACTTGTAACTGGAGGATTTAGACTCTGTCTCCCTGAGCAGGGATGATCTGGTGTACTTCCCCCTGGAACTTCCAGACCAGTCACTTTGGAAAGGAGGTTTTTCCTCTGTCCTGAGGCCACTGAGCCACTTATTAATACTGCTATCCATCTCTTTGCCAACTCTGCTGCCACTTGCGTAGTGATCACAGACAGCCAGGGAGGAGGATGTGTCTGTTTCAGGTTTCTGGGAACTACTGCGGGAAGAATACCGGAAGCTCCCTATGGCGCTGTCAGTGTCCTCATCCCCATCACCCATACCATCATCCTCATCTTCCTTGACCTTCTTCTTCTTGAAGAGGGAGCTGCGTTTGTTGTCTGAGGCCAGCTTTTCCATTTTGTACTCAGACATCTTCTCCCTAAGCTCCATCTGCATCTCCTTTTCCTTCCGGCCAAGTTCCTTTAGGTCCACATTGTCAGCAAAGAGGCTGTAGATGGGCTTGCTGGTCCCCCTCACTTTGCTCCTGGAACATTCAGGGGGCGAGCTCAGTGTGGTGTTGCAGGACAGCACAGACTGCATGTCAGAGCTGAGTCTTGCCTGGCTCTGAGGCAACAGGCAGCCACCCAAGGAGGAGCTGCTCTGTCCACTGAGCATGGAGACTTGGTCATCCCCCAGGCAACTGGCCGCTGGTACTGCCTTCATGCTTGCAACAGACGGGGAGCGGGACAACAGCAGCATTTCATTTTGCTTCTGAGCAAGGGTCTCGTTGACTACATTGGCAATCCAGTTCTGGATACTGGCAATGGAAATGGTGTCTCCAGGCCCCACTGGCAGGTTAGGCAGGGGTGTGATGGGATTGGAGGTTGAACACCC